ATATACAAAAAAACTCTGACTTTGGAACGAGCTCCTTATTAAATCTCAGCTTACAAAAAAAAGTCCCAAAACAGGAATCGACAGCCAATTGTTATGTTAAAAATGGAGCTATTTCCCTTGTTTTTTACGTGAACTATTCCACGGGATGTCTAGTGTGAGTTGTAGAGATAACTTGAGGAGCGTGGCTAAAAGTCAACGATGAGGTAATCATGCCCTCTGAGACTAGGAGGAGCAAAACAAATTTACTCTTGACTTTACAACCTCCAGCATCACAATTGGAAGAAGAACTGGTTTCCAGTCAAAGACTTTAAAACGTTGATCACAACTAATTTGGACCGGAGATTCGGTTAGGGGACTTGATTAATTTGCTGGATGAAATTAATTTGTCATAAAATGGGCCATAATTAATAAATCTATCATCATAATAGCGATGGATTGCCAGAAGTATTTCGCAGTTGATCGTAAGCAATTTAATACTAACCGTAGAATATCGCCTATGTTGAGTAGATTTACTATAGTAATGATTATAACCCCAGCTTTGGGTGGGTCAGTCTGGCAGTGTTACTTTTATGAGAATGATATATGTTGGGAAAGGTTTTCCAAAAGGACTAATGAAACGAAAAAGCTCTCTGATGAGCCCAGCAAACATTCCTCCTGCTAGACTACTTTAGGAAAATAACAAGTAATGTGTTCCGTCTTTATCTCGTCGATTTGTAAATTCGAGTTAGACACTTACTGATCGCAAAATGGAAGAGCTATTTGGCAACTTTTGGAAACTAGTACAATGTAAATCAGACCCTTAGGTCATGTTGTTTGGTCTAAAATAATATCTTATTTCAGTGCTTCGCAGATCAGTCGCCCTGACGCTGTCCAGAGCTGATTGCATTTCCTACGACTTTAATGGACACGTTAAATCTCCTGAATATATTCTCCCTTTACACCTTTTGTGAAAGGCTCTTACTGAAATCGAAATTTGTTTAAAAAAAAACAAATTCAGTTGCAGCTTTATAATGACTGTATTTTATCTCTTTTTGTGTAACAAGTTAATTTACTTGCCCGAAACATAATTACTAAATCGGACTGAGTGAGTGGCGATTACAGGTCGGTTGGTTGATTCTCAATAGGGACTGATCTGAAATTGACAAGAGGATCATCGGGAAAAGGGGATGCAGTGGCTATTCCAACTGTTTGCGGCTGGTCTGACAGCGGACACACCGCTAAACGCTTTGTTTTTCCGCAGTTTACTGGTCGCTCGTCTGTCACTGTGGCTTTCCTCTCAACCACGTGTTTATTTGTCACTTTGGAGCTGCGATTATCAGTAATTATTCTCTGTAATTACGTGTTGGGTTCTGCACAGCGGAGACATTGGGAGGAAAAAAAATACCCTCCGATTTCACCTCTCCCGGTTTCCACGTGTGCCCTCCCCAGTTCCCAGCCTGTGTTTAAAACGCCCAGTAACGTGGGCAATTGGGTTTCTTTCAGCGCGCACTGTTAATATTATACATGACATAAAAAGGCAATCTGCATTTGCATTTTTTTTGCGCGGAAAGTGGGATCGCTGTAGCCGTAAAGTAGTGGGCGAAGTGCTGCATTTCCAGCGCGGAAGATAACACCGATGGGATGTTTGATAGTCCAGTGTTTGAGGCGCGGTTCTGTTCTGTTCTGCTCAGCAAAAAAAAACTCTCCTCGCGTTGTGCTTTGTGCTTGTGCTCCCATCGCGTGTCTCGAAAACTTTTGACAGGTAAACAAACTGTTGTGTTGCGCTGTTTGCAGAAATCGTTCACTGTAACCTCCTCCTCCCTCCCCACCTTTTCTCTCTTTTCTTTGCCCAATGTATTCGCTCCCAGACTTGTGCGCTGCGCTCCGCTTCTTTTGTACATCACGAGCGAAATCATATGAGCCGCGTGTGTGCGGGTGAAGGCGGCTGTGAAAGGTGATGAGCAAAATGTTAAGTGATTCTCGGGGTTTTTTGGGTAAAGAAAAAAAAAGCGGACTCTCCTCCCTCGCCGTTTGGCCGATTGCATAAATAAATCGACGCGAATCGTTCTGTTACCACACGCACAATAAGCCGATTCCAGTGGCAGATTATTGCTTTGCTGCTTTAACTTTGGGTCATGTTCTGCCCTGGACGTTGCAATAAAAATAGAGGGAGAAACAGTGTTCTGTTGAAAATATGCAAGGCGACCCCAGCTGCCGGTTAGGGCTAAAGGATTTGCAATAACACTTTCACCCTCCTTGTATTTAGTTGAATGGGACGGGGAGAGATTCAAATGCACAGCTCGTTCTGTCACGATTTTACGCTTCATCCCAAATCTTTGCGAAAATCTAGAAATTAGTGCATCGTTGAAGCGTATTTTCCTGGGTGCACCTCGGCCTGTTTTTGCATCAAGTCCTATTTTTGTTTAACCCTTTTTGCATCAATTGTGGGCGACCAAATGGCGAATACTGTATCAGTAAAATTATTTATTCATATATTCAGTCTCAATCGAATCCTTTCAATCATACATACCCTTATCTGGGTGCTTGATGCACATCCCGGGAGTGAGTTTAAAAGCTAAAATTCCCACACCCTCACATTTTTGTAGCCTTTGTAGCTGTTGCCGAACACTTTCTTACTCATTAGGAAGCTGCGTTTCGTTATTATTTTTCGTCAAAGCACAATTTCCCCTTAAAAGGTACGAAGAAAAATCGGATCAGCGGTAAAATGCAAAAACACAAGCCTTACCTTAATGTTGCTGTATTTATTCTCATATAGTGTGGCATTAAAACAAATTGACGCGAGTTCCTAACCTGCAAATTCATCAGAATGTATCATTGCATATCGCAGTCTTATCACGAAACCCTTTCCACAACCTTCTCCAGAAAGAAATGATAAGACAATGGATCATCTGCGCTGAATGCACCACTATAAACTTGCCTATGGCAACCCTGGCTACAGAACAGTGCACATTCGTTGCCCTGGCATTTATTTATTCAAGAAATATATCAGTCGTAAAACAGTCAATTGAAAATAGTTGGAAGTTGTATTTTATAATGTCGCTTTATATAGTGCCTGTCTTGCAAGACATATCGTATTTATCAGAGTTGGTTTGTCCTTTCGCCGCTACATTGACCTTGTCCTGCACTTCACTGAACGCTTAAATGCAATGCATGAAATGGGTAAATGTGTGTATTTACAGTGATGCAGTTGTTCATAGGGCCTACTTACATTTCGGCACATATGACTTTGTAAACGCTTTTTTATATTAAAAAAAAGTTGCTTTTCTTGCAGGCAATATGACTGGAAAACCACATTCTGAACTCGATCGACAATCCGGCCAAATTATTTATGCGTTTCAATAAACTCATCGCGGGCCAAACCTTTGCCTCCACTAATTAAACAAACGTATTAAATAACAATATTAATAACAAAAAGTTGTTTTGAATTTGGAATAAAACGCTTAATCTGAAGCCCTCCGCCCAAACAAGACACACATTCAGATGTTGTAGTGCTGAATGCTGAAACGGTAAATAGATGGGAGATATTTTTAAAAAAAGAGGATGAAAATAGATCGTCAGTCAAAGACTAAATAGCGATGGGCGGGGAGGGGAGAACAGAGAGGAAAGAGAGTGTGCAAAAAGAAAACGATTCGAGAAGGAAGGAGGAAACCAAAGGCCCAAATGTTGAGCTACACAAAGCTGCTGCAGTCCAGAGCTAAACATACACACACACACACAGATAGACACACACATCCCCTCTCTCTCTCTCTCACACACACACACACACACACACACACAGATAGACACACATATCCCCTCTCTCTCTCTCTCACACACACACACACACACAGATAGACACACACATCCCCTCTCTCTCTCACACACACACACAGATAGACACACACATCCCCTCTCTCTCTCTCTCACACACACACACAGATAGACACACACATCCCCTCTCTCTCTCTCTCACACACACACACAGATAGACACACACATCCCCTCTCTCTCTCTCTCACACACACACACAGATAGACACACACATCCCCCTCTCTCTCTCACATACACACACAGATAGACACACACACATCCCCTCTCTCTCTCTCTCTCACACACACAGATAGACACACACATTCCCTCTCTCTCTTTCACACACACACACACACACACAGATGGACAGATACATACACAGATACACACAGATAGACACATATACAGACACACATATATAGACAGAATACACACACAGAAACATAGGAACAGGAATGGGCCATTCAGCCCCTCTAGCGTGTTCCGCCATTCTGTTAGATCATGGTAGATCTGTAATATATCACATACATTCACACACACACACACATACACACACACAGACACACACGAGTGCGCACAGAGACACATACATACATTCAGACACAGTCGAAACACACATGCACACAAATAGACACACCTACAATCTGACACCCACCCAGACACAGACACACAGACTCTCTCACACACACACACACACACACACAGACTCTCACACACACACACACACACAGACTCTCTCTCACACACACACACACACACACAGACTCTCACACACACACACACACAGACACACAGACTCTCTCTCACACACACACACACACACACACAGTCTCTCCCACTCAGGACAATACAAACAGCTGGTGCTGTCCGGGGTCTGACTCGGGCCAATCAGATCGCCGGAGGCGGGAGGGGGAGGGGAGGGGGAGCCGGGGTGCGCCTGACGTCAGGCGCGCCCTACGTCAGACCAATGGCGAGGGTCTGGAGGAAGCGCAGGCAGAGTGTGTGAGAGATAAGGAGCAGTGAGCATGATCGGCAGCACTGTACACACCGCACCGCCTCTCTGCATAGCCCTATCCCCAGTGTCTGGCAGCAACAAGCAGCTCCGATTGCACTCTTCCTAACCGGCCCTGCTCTGTGGACATAATCAACAACCCCCCACCCCACCCCCCCACCACCCCTCTCCTCCTTTCCTCCTCCCCACTCCCCCCCCCAAAAAAAAAATTCAAGGGAATAACAAACAACAAAAAAAAACTTTTTACACAATAACAAGAAATGGGAGACATGGGAGATCCACCCAAAAGTAAGTTTGTTTTTTCCTTGCTGTTGCATTTCCATGATCTGATTCAGGTGTTGAGAGGAGATGACCAGTTTCACAGGTGAACTCACGTCGCTTTGACTTCATTGTGCGCCTCTGGACTTATTTGCTCTTTGCACAGTGATCATTCTGGTTAGAGTTTGGCTCTCGTTCACGCGTTGAACGGTACAGCAAAGAGTTTTGGCAACATACATACTGCGTTGTTAACGATATTCCCACCACTGGAGATACGTGTGAACAAAGTAGCTCTGTGGTAGGGTGGTAGAGTTGAAGTAAAAACATAGATAAACGTTTTTTTTGTTGTGTGTGTGGCTTCTTGCAATACTTGTTTCAGAGACTTGTCAGATGTATCACAGTTACATACATCTGATTATGTAGGATCTCTGCTAAAATGAGCGAAATTTGATACTGCACAAGAATTGTACTTGTTTCTGCTTGTAAAAATTCTGGTTGTAATAGTATGCCTGCACACATTTCGAGATGATTGTTAAGCTTTTTCATTATATATTTTACTTGCGGTTAGAAGCTTGCCTTTTTAGTTTTTTAAAAAAGTGTTGCATGCTACGAAATATTCCTTAAAACACTCTGTAAAGAAAAAAAATGAGCTCAGAACCTCTGTTTACGTACAAAATTAAACTTTTGTATTGATTTTCAAAGTGTTTGTTAAATCGTATCCGAACTAATCATCTGCATTCAAGTTATTTATTGGAAGTTTTTTTTGGACTGCATCATGTTACAAAAAAAGAAATGTAATATAAATTAGGTCTGTCCAGTAAATATAACAATTATTAACAAAACCGAGGTGGAATGTGTCAAATGAATTCGATGTTTATAATACAAGAATCCAAATCAGTGATCACTGTTTCACTGCACAATTTTCATATCAATTTGCAGAAAAACGCCTTATTTCACTGTGTGTTGGTTGTGGGAATCAGATTCATGATCAGTTCATCCTTCGAGTTTCTCCGGATCTAGAATGGCATGCAGCTTGTCTAAAATGTGCAGAATGTAACCAGTATTTGGATGAAACGTGTACCTGCTTCGTTAGGGATGGCAAAACATACTGCAAGAGAGACTATATTAGGTGAGTGACGTTCTTCTATTTTTTTTTAAAAAAATAAGCTTTCCAGTTGTGTTAGGTATACTGCCATCCCTAAATGATCTATTCCAAACATTAACCCTTCAATGGCCTTCTTCCTGTCTTATCTTATCTCAGCTGGTGAATTAGACAGACGAGATCAAATTGGCCATCATTTGGCAGAAAACAATTGGCATATTTAGATAATATATATCCGCTTCCTTTGTTAAGCTTGCGCCACGTACCGAGAATTACACGATGTTGATGATAGTCTGTAAATGAGAAAAAAAATCGAGACATTTTTTTAAAAAAACTTGGGGGGGAAAAAAAAGTTTAGCGCTGGCTTAGTTGTTTCCAACGTTTAGGAGTGACAGCGATTCATTGCAAAAAACCTCGGCTGTCATCATTTGTCTGTGTATTTCCGAATGTTTGTAATAGTAGATTGGAAATGAGGCATGTGAACTGAAAGTACAAATCAGTCGCCCTGTGTTGTATGGAATTATACCGAGGAGAATTATTGCAGTCACAGGGTCTGAAATACTAGGTGATTTTTCGCAATATAATAATTCACTGCCATTATCGAAACATTCAATTTAATACCGGTGTTCAAGAGGTGGTATTGATTCGCCTGACGTTTAGCATTGATTTGCAAACGTTTTGTGCTATTTTCTACTGAACTAAGGAAACGAAGTCCCTCATGTAAAGTCGACCACCGACCAGAAAAATAAACAAACACAAACTAAAATAACCCAGTTAAACGGTGACACTAAAAAGCAGTGACGTTTTTTTTTGCGGGTAACTGTTTAAAATTAGATTTTATTTCTGGCGAAAAGAATAAAGTTAAGATGATTATGATAACGAATAGATCCCACGGTTGTGTCCATCCATATATTTTTACATACAAATAATGTATTGATGGAATTTTGCAGAATCTACCCCCCTCCAAAAAAAAGTTTTAAGTATACTCAACCGTTTAAATGCTCGATAATATTTCACGCACTCCTATGATTTTAGGAATCGTTGTTTTCATTAACTGTTGTCTCAATTCTAATCGTGCAAATACAGTATACATAATGGTGTGGAGGCTGAGTGGAAATGTTCAGTGTTAAGGTCCTTCGGATGATCTGAAAATATAGCAGTTTACATTGGGATGACGATTAAATTATTACATTATTTCGGCTATAGTTTGTTTTGGACTCTTTGTGACTCGATAAATTAAACTGCTGAGTCGAGCAAAGTGCAATTACTGTGTGTGTTTGCTCAGACCAAAGAATATTCTATGTTTTGGGGGTATTAAAGTCAGATTTGTACCGCTGTTCCCGTAATAAAAACAATGTTTGGTGCTTTTGTTTTCGACTCTGCAGGTTATACGGAACTAAATGTGCAAAGTGTAACATAGGATTTAGTAAGAATGACTTTGTGATGAGAGCTCGCAGTAAGGTGTATCACATTGACTGCTTCCGCTGTGTGGCGTGCAGTCGCCAACTCATCCCCGGCGATGAATTCGCGTTGCGGGAGGATGGACTCTTCTGTCGGGCGGATCACGACGTTGTAGAGAGGGCTTCGGTCGGCCCAGACCCCCTCAGCCCCATGCACGGCAACAGACCCCTACAGATGGCGGGTATGTACGCTTTAACAACTCGGCTGTCTATGAAAGCCCATTCATTTTTCATGCAGTGAGCAAAAAAAAAACCCCAAAAAACATCTGCTCTTGTCTATTGCCTTACAACACGAGCAGTGGGTTTGAACTTTTTCTATGCAGTCGATGGTTTATTGGTTTGCGTTTTGCCATTATTGAGTGGTGAATTTCTGCATTATGTAATGTCCGAGTTTACTGTGAACCTGAAACGCCTGAAATTGGGCTCTTGACTATGGGTTATGTACAGCTGAAACCCCCCAACAAGAGCTCGTTTAACGTGTGTACTGTTTATGTTTGGTTGTGTGTTTTTATGTTTTTATGTTTAATGTTACACAAGAGAGATTGTGATGGAGGGGGCTATCGGCTTGAGCCATGCTGTTCTTCTATGCTAAATATCTGAACTACGTTTGAAAGCGATTTAAAATGTTTCTCCTGTAACCCCTTGTGGGTCATGTTGACCTGTTTTAATTGTCAATAGTTCAAGGTAAATAGATGCGTTGACGAATCGCGGTTTCACTTATGTAGGGTTCACGTTACCATTTGAATGACTTAATCAAACGTGCTTTTATAGGTAACGTTTGACAACAATCCTCTTGAATGTGATGTACAGCGGTAGGGTCTAAATGTATTATTATGTGATCGCTTTCCAGTTAAGTCAATTATGCTTACAATAACAATGCATATGTATTTTGCAGGTTCTAACTTTCTTTTACTGTTTATATAAAACAAGGCATGGTCACTAATCTCGGGATTTGATCCTTTATTTTACATATCATACAAATACGTTTAGACGGCCTTTATACAATAAGATATCAGATTGTATGGCCTTACGCTTATCAAAAGCTCGATGTTGCAGTCTTTTAAACCTTTTTTTTATTATCCTTACCCCAAACTGAGAATAATGCGTTTGGCTCCTTATTAAAATACATTAAATTCCAAGGGCAGCCGATCTACAATTTACATAATTATACGTTTGAAGACTGTTCATATAACAGCTGCCGAGGTTGATATTTTATTACAGAGTAAATATTGCTGAGTTCCATTTTTGTTCTCATTGCCTCGTGAAATATTTCAGGGTTGTCCAGAATTGCATCGTTGTAATTTTATTTTGGAAACTTTGTGCGCGTAAAATTAAATCTCAAATTGGAAGGCACATTAAATATCAAATCACATCCCTCCATCGTTGATAATGAATTGTACTTCCCTAACATGATTTGATGGCGGTTTATATTCTTTAATATGGTTAAAGGGATTCCCCTCCCCCACTATGTAGTGTGTCTGGCTTATTAAATCCTATTTGAATTCCCTGCAGTACGTTTCTTTTTTTGTTATAGGCGGCAAACTATATGAGATTGTTGAACCTAAAGTGTTGGGCATTAAATAGAGCACCGTTGACCATAATATTTTACTCAAAACATGCTTTCAATTTCTTTTCATAAAATATCAGATTTCAAAGGAAGGATTGCTTTTGCAAAAAAAATAACAGCAATAGCCGAACTTTCGAAATCTATTTTTAAGCAGTTTCTTGAAAGAAATTATACAGATCTCTTATCACACCCCGGCTTTGCGGGAACCCTTTTTTTTTTATCACATCGCACAACTGAATGCACGGAGAGCGTATTTTGCGCTATTTTCCAGAATAATATTTTGCGAACGACACAACAAAGATGCTCAAGCGGAAAAAAATCCGTTCATTAAAAACCGGCAATGCTAACTGCACTGACACAGCACTAACCACTTAGCACTTTGTAAACAGCCGCTCACACCAGGCGCTTATATCCGAATTGCATGTGTGTGGATTTGGTTGGAATTAGTATTCAGATAACCAGAGACTGCGGTTCCTCGTTTGAATCTGAACCTGAATCCCAGCCCAGTTGATCATTCACTTTAAAAAAAAGGAGTTCACCGCAGGAAATCGCACTGTATTGTAAAGAGTACGTGTCCTGTTCTTCAGATATACACAGTTTATTTGTTTTGCTTTCGGCGTCATGCAGTTTAATCAGTTTTGGACGCGTGCAGGGCTGAGAGTCCTGAGCTTACTTTTCACTCCATATTAATGTCACTTGAGTTGCATTTGAAACCAGGCGCCTTCGAGGAACGTGGAATGAATGCATTGCTGCTCAGGCCTAGTTACGTGTTTTTTTTTCTTTTGGTACTGCAAACTACAGTCCCCCCCCCCCCCCCCTCCCCACCACCACAGCTCCCAAATAGTTTCTCAAAGATTTCATGTTATTGGTGCAGAACCATTAGCTCTTGTTGTGTGGTCCACCTTGCATCCAACTTAGGATCTGTTGCCTATTTTAACTTATTTTACAGCAGAACCTATTTCTGCCAGACAACCTGCCTTGAGGCCACATGTTCATAAACAGCCCGAGAAGACGACTCGGGTCCGGACAGTTCTGAACGAGAAACAGCTCCACACGTTACGGACTTGCTATGCAGCCAACCCGCGGCCTGATGCCCTTATGAAGGAACAGCTCGTGGAGATGACAGGCTTGAGCCCCCGTGTCATTAGGGTCTGGTTTCAAAACAAGCGCTGCAAGGACAAAAAAAAGACTATCCTGATGAAACAACTGCAACAGCAGCAGCCCAACGACAAAACAGTAAGTGTCTTTGTGCTCCTGGAACATCCATCGAAACTTTGACATGTCATTGTCTCCTTGGGACGGGTTATTTTCTCTGGGAATGTTGACACATGCGCTCAAAAAGCAAGGGTCTGTCTCACTGCTCATCTCATCAGATTTTTTTTGTGTGTGTGTGTCTTGAGGAGAGAGAAGGATGTGTAGCACTGACCGCGACATGTCGATAGCAAAGGCTGCCGCACCCCCCAATTCAATTGTTTGGGGGGATAGTTTTGGTGTCTCCTCTTAGATCAAGCTCTCCTTTTCCAGTGAGCGTTGACCTAGAGGTGTGTTTGGGCGCCTAAGTGTTACTTTATGGTGATGAGTTGATATTCGGAACATGTCTCATGGCTTTACGAATATATATATATATTTTAAGTCCTGTTTCCATTTCAGGGCAGTTCTCAAGAACAGTTATATTTTACCATCACCATTCTATTTAGTACCCCTCCTCCATTTGTTATTGAATTACAGATTCAACAGACTTGAGGTTGCCTCACCTAAATCAACCCCTTTTTGTTAATTTTTAAAAAAATGTAAACCAGTATTAGAATTACAATACTGATTATGAAATAATATTATATATAAATGTGTATGATAAACATGTCTTCGGAATTGGAGATCTGGGTTTATACTGTAAACAGACTATTTACAATCACGTGAAATTTCTTTTTTTAACATAAATTATCTATTTTGAAGGGAGCATTATTACCCAGTGTTGCAGTTCACCAGTTCTCTCGCTATTTGTTTTACTGCTCCGACATGTGAAGTGTTCTCGCCTTGTACACAACGTGAGAGTGAGGTTACACTACAGATTATGCACTGCACTTGGGCCAGGTGATTGCAAGACGCAGTTGACATGGAATTTTGAAGTGGTAACATTGGGCGATGCTATGCATTACTGAAGGCTGTGTTGAGGTTTACACTGTGTTAATGCGACTCAGTAATAAGTACCATTGGGCTTATTTGCAGAATATCCAGGGGATGACAGGGACCCCAATGGTGGCTGCCAGCCCAGAGAGACACGACAGCAGTTTGCAAGCCAATCCAGTTGAGGTGCAGAGTTACCAACCGCCTTGGAAAGTCCTGAGTGACTTCGCACTGCAGAGTGATATAGAACAGCCTGCATTTCAGCAACTGGTGAGTGCCAGCAACATGCAGAACACCATCACCATCACAACACAGACTGCACCAGAAATCACTGCAGTCAGGGGACCTGCTACACACCAATCCTTATATAGACAATTCATGGATATAAAAGTTGCAGAATCACTCTTTTGTCAGCCTTAGCATTTTCCAATTTGTCGACCATCAAGACAAGTAGAAAAAAATCTATATTGTTTACCCAAGCGTTCTCAATCTCACAAAATCTTCAGCTAGAATGTGCGTAGACGGTGAAAACGACTGCTGCTAAACCACGATTCTGTCATGACATTTTAAGTAATGGTGAACGCGTATTTTTAAAACCTAATGTATTTCAGTTTCAAAACAGCATTGATTTTTTTTCAAGAAAGACAGGATGTGTGAAGCACGTTTCGAGTTAGTCTAGTTTAAAATACAGTTAATGGAAACCAAACAAATGGATGGTATTGCCACTTTTGTTTTACTGAATTTTTGTCATTGAAAGTTGAAACTGTAGTGGACCAGTAATAAGGAAACCCCCTGCTCTCGCCTTCTTATATGAGTAACTCTTATCTGAGAAGAATGCAGTTAATTATGCTTCATTTCACCTAACCTTTATGTAAAAGGTGAAGTTAAGGTATCCTGTTTTGCATGATGGCAATGAATGCAACATTTCGTGTTACCATTACTGCAAAAATTGCACACTTTTTTTGAGTATGTGCTGCACTGGTTATTTTGTTTTTTTTGAATAAAGTCTTGGAAAAACCCTTAGTTCTTATACAGTACTGCATCTAATGGTAGTATGTGATTTGTAGCTCCCTGTGATACATACTATGTTTCTACATTGAACTTTTTAATTGAAACATTGGTATACCCAGGAACACGTGTTATGTATGTACAATAAAAATTGTCTTTACTTTGTAACCCATTCTAGTTTAACCAGTTGAGGCCTGTGGTGGCCCCTTTGCACTATGTTTCATAGAATAAACACTTTGTAGAAGTGCATATTGCCTTTTCTATTTATAATGTCATTGCACTTTCATAGAATATATGGCAGCTGAAAATGTGCTCTCTTACTTTGAGTTGCAAAGGAAACAGGGTGCTCAATGGGTTAAACAGATGTGTGATGTTTTGCAATAAATTATGAATCATTGCACAATATATCAATCCGTACGTTATTTTTGAAGAAACTATTTTGTACTACTTTGCAGCATTAAAATGTTGCTTTGATAAAGGAAACCTTGACTACATGTGCTTTGTTGCAAGAACCCCTGGGTTATTTATTTTACCTTGGTTTACAGCCCAGAGATGAATAGCACTTTAAAGACTTTATATTACCAAAAGCGCTTTTTAAATATAATTTGGTAGTCATTCTTAATGTTAAAATTTAATGTGAATTATTGTGCATTTATGGCTATAAATATTGAAACTTTTTTTAATGATTTGTTCTCTTGGTACGCGTGACATTGGATTTATGGCCATGTTTTAAAGATGGCTAAGGTCATTGATGTGCTATGATTTTTACAGGTTAATTTTTCAGAGGGAGGGCCAGGTTCTAACTCCACTGGAAGTGAAGTAGCGTCCATGTCCTCCCAACTCCCTGACACACCAAACAGCATGGTAGCGAGTCCTATAGAAGCATAAGAAGCCTGAACTCTTGAGTGCAGCACCTACAGAGAGCCACGAGGAACCCTGGAATCTCAATCTCTCTGGCCCCAATACTCTTAGTAAACGTTAATGCAACCTGGTCCATGCCTGAGCAGAAAGCAGCCATCATCCATTTGCACAAAGTCTCTGTATTCAAAGAACCACTGTCGTACTCCAGTAACATGGTGAAGACAATCAGACACACACAAGTGAGAACTGGCTACAAGCTCAAATACAAGAGACTCCTCAGGCATCCGGCACTTCAAGCAAAGATATTATTGAAGATATATATTAAATAAAGGATGTACGTTCCAGTGATCCTGAGGAATGTGATTTGAATGTCTTGAACACAAAAAAACGCATAAGATGTTCCAGTGGAGAGACTACAGTCCCATCATATTCAATGATGCTGCATATAAAGGACATCAGTGGGTCGGCCTTGCCAAAAAAAGAGTCCTATACATCTGCAAAAAGTGGACTGGAAAGACAATCGGTGACATGCAGAATGTACCAAGCCTAAGTAGTTCAGTGACTGTCCTGTAGGATCAGTTCTGAAAGGTATAGTTGCATTTTTGCAATGCTTTTAGTTGACCTATAACTAAGGACTATTGGATCTTAGATCATTAGCATGTAGCTGGTTCGTGAAATAACAGTCCCTGCAACAAAAATATGAAGGCAACTACTGATATTTCATTTTTTTTTATTTTTTATTGACAAAGCTCAAGCATTGCAACAAGGTATACCTCTTTTTGCCACAGCTTCGTGGGATTTGTGTGTGAACTCGTGTCCGTCCAGAATTTTCCCAAAGATGTGTACACTCCTTGGTTAAAACGGTTTTGAAAGGCGGTTTTAGCTCTGGAAAGAAACATTTTGTTTGTTCTTGTACTGCAAAAATTATAAATAATTTATTATTTATTGTCGACAGACTTGCCACTTTTTGTGTCTTTTGACATTTTATGTTTGCTGAAGTAAAAGATGTACCGTGGTCTTTGGAAAACATGTCTAATTTTATGTGTCCTGTCTTTTCTTGAAGATATTGTAAAATAGTAAAAAAAAATTGCCATATGTAGAAATATATCTTCAGGATTATTTCACTAATAAAAACTTTGAGATAACTAAAGAATGACACAAACTTTTTACAGATTCTGATAAATTAATTTAGAAGTTAACAGCCTTTAAAACATTTTTAAAATACTTTAAATAAAATATTTTTAAAATTCTATTGACAGTATATTTTATTGCCACTAATTTAAGTTAGGGTATTATTTTAATTAGCAGTTATTTTTAAGATGAGTGATAATAACTGTGAATTCCAATACTTTCCCTTTTTGGAAATATATATTTTTTAAAATGCATTTTTGAAATAATTTTATTTAAGTAAACCCTAAAGCCTAAGAATGGAATTAAACTAGTCAAAACAATAATATTCTATGTGCGATTTTTATTTTTTAAAAAGCCCAACATTCAGGAAACTGAGCAGAAATGACATCCTTTACACTTACATGCTTTCATCGTGTTGTCTGTGGTTTTGTTTTGCATGTTATTATTTTCCTGAAATATGAGCACTTATCCAGTCAGCTGCATTTTAAGCAGTTTATACTTCAGTAGAAATGTCGTATTGATCACTAATGGCAAGCACCGTTATGCTTAACCTAGCACAGCAAGTTTGGAATGATTCAGTGTTTAGTAAAACAACGTTTCGATGGTTCTTGCAACATTAAGTCTATTTATATCGTTCATTGGTTGTTGGTTCATGATATGTCTGATATGAGGAAGCTTAACTTTCAATGCCCCTTATTTGTTTTTTTTTGGTGTACGAGCAAACACTTCTCAGCCAAGCATTCTTTAGGTTAGGAACAGTGTCTGGTCTATATCTGGAGCAATCTGGTTAACAAGGCACTTCCCATGACACGTAACACCTTTAAATAAACAAACGGTTCCCCCATTTATATTAGCGGTGGGTAAATATTTCCCGCTCAAAAATGACCCCACTATCGTTTTTTTAAAAAAAATCTCTATAGATTGATAATAGCAAGATGTACTTATGGGTTACTCTAAAGTATTTTATTGGTGTTGTCTTTAACTTAACTGTTAATATTTCTAAGTGAACAATAGTTGTGGTGGCATCAGTGCCTGGGAACCAGCAGTCATTGGGAACTCCCAGTTGCTCTCATCACTGCAGAATCTCTCCCACTGCTGTGGCCAATTGATTTTTATCAGGCGATGTGGCAACTTCCTTTCCTTTTTTTTAATAAACAAAAATAATCAATTCCTTAAAACAAATTTAAATTAATCAATTTAATTTTCTTGAGATCCGCCTTAAGATTATCATTAAGGTGGATAGATCTCAAGAACATGGGGGCAATGTTCACTAACTGTGGAAATCATAAAATCAGCAGATAAAACAAGTCGATTGGTAAGGTTTATTTTAAATCTACCCAAAAGTCACAGTCAGACTATCTCTCTCCCATAGAAGGGGGTGGGGGAACAAACCTATTTCGTTGTAAGACAGATTAGTTTATCCCACATGCCTTTCCTTGAGGTTTCCATCCGCATAACCCTTTCCTCCCTGTGGCAGCTCAAACAGGGATATACATCGCGTATCGCAGTAGTGGAAGAATGAACTGAATGTCCCTATCAGTATGATTTCGATAGTCACTGAATCAATCTAATGAGCCATCAAAATAGACAATTGCTCCTTCACTAACCATCCGGTCTGCGCTTATCTTCTTGACCTTGTTTGTCCTATTTCGCTTACTTCATGCAGTATTTTGAATTGAAATTCATGGCTGACAGCTCATGAGATACCAAGTCACCTTCTTTATCCGCCCCCACCCATCCCCATCCATCCATAACTTACTTTGTTCCTAACTATAATGTAATGAAGGGCCGCCGGTAGCAGAATGACGCTATTGTATAACGAGGTGGAGGGAATTGCCTAACTGGGTTTAACGGGGTTATGGCTGGAGGTGACTAACGTTCACAAAGTCATTGGTGTGTCCACGGGGAAGGAAGGGTAAATGATGACAGGAGTTAAAGGAAACAGACTTCATTAAGGCATGCCGCATGAAATCCCCGCAATTCATTACACCTTTAGGCGATTGGGCGGGTTATCTATGGGTAGTAATAATGGGAAATGTGTATATGCTGAATAAGTAAACTATGGAGGTGGTTTCATGTAAAACGGCTCCAAGATTCAAGAGTGAGCGAGAAAGAGAGAGAGAGAGAGGCGTTTACTCTTCAGCTATAATGGTGAACTCTCCCATCATGAATTCAATGGACTGAGAAAAAGAAGCCAGAAATTACTGCACTTTACAATTTACATAATTATTAATAATGCATAATAATTTACACTATCCTCCCAGAATAAAGTATGCGTTTTGTATGCGTATGGTGTGCACGTGTGCGACATGTATCAGATTATTTGTACTAAAGAATTAATTGTTTTGCAACTATTTACCATTCAGCTATTTGTGAATGAAAAAAAGCGGATGGGGGGGGGGGGGGAGATCCATTCGGCATTAATATTTTTTGGAACAATATTGCATTACGTTGATAGCTCATGTTAAACGAAACAGTTTTGGGTGGAGTGATCGGGAACATTTTACCCCCCCCCCCCCACCACCAATTGAAGCTCATGAGCACAAATAACGAGATAGCAACTCATCCCGCTGCAGTCCATGCAAAGATGCATTAGTGTCGATTGTGTTTTTAAAACAAATGTGCGAGGGGTGGGTTATTGTGAATGCCCCGTATTGTAAGGATCTATTTGATGTTGTGGTGTGTCTATGGCTAGTGGCCTACTATGGAGGTGGTTCCTGTTTGCAGTGTTGTCTCTCCCCCACCCCACACACACACACACACGCACAGGGGAAACCAGCCACTGACCGACAATGTTTGAGTTCAGGCGCCACAAAAGCAAACTCCAGCCCCAGCACTCGGCCGCTTGATGAACGATTACTTTACAGTTCAAACGTACAAGACTTCCCACCGAAACTTGCTCATTACACGGGGGAGCGGGATTTGTTTATATATATGTATATATAAAACTCTCTTACTTATAAAATGCTTCCAATTATTTCTTTATTAATATAATTGCATTGCACTAAAATAGTTACCAATCCACCCACCCACTTTTCTGCTGTGGGCCATGGGTATTTTGAAGTCAGCTCTTTGCTAATGTGATCAGTGTTGTGTTTACTTAAAACGCATAGCTGGCTCTTTAATTTTAACTGAAAATATATAATTATTACCCCCGCAGACAACTGGAACGTAATTATGTGTTGAGTACGTTAACCCAGAGCTTTTGACAGATAATGACAGATATTCTAATGAGGCTACATACAGTAGGATATTTCTGCAACACTCAACGCTCCAGCGCCAGAAACAACGCTGTTGTGTTTTTCTTCCTAAATTCAATACAAACGATTCCCAGGATAAATACTTACATTACTTAAAATATATGGAACTTTCAAATTGGCAGCTGGATCCAATCTCCTTCGTCTCCTATGCTCTGTAACATTATTACACATGGAAACGGCTAATAATCGCCGTCCATTCCACCAGTGTGTGTTACACATTACAATACATCAGTAAAACTAATTGTTAGTGATACCGTTTCAAATCATTTGGTTTGGTGGGAAACGATTAACTTTAGATCGGTGTCTATTTCCGAAAAATCGCCCGGTTTTAAGATGAGAAACTTCACTAATTGTGTTTCCAGCCTCGGGGCTCTCTCTCTCTCTCTCTCTCTGTGTGTCTGTCTATAAGGAGATCTCACACAGAAGCGAAAATAACAAATCCCCCTTAGTGACATCCACAGCCTCAGGGAAGAAGCAAACTGCACCAAAAGGAAGATGATTTGTTTTGTTTCTTGTTACCATTTTTAAGATGGGTGAGTGAGTGAGTGTGTGTGTGGGGGGGGGGGAGGTTGGTTGCTGATCACGTTTGAAACAGGTTGGTGTATCTCTGAGCCTAATCAAAACAAGTTTGACTTGTGAGGTCCTCACGTCTAGACAGAGCTGGACTCTCGGCGGCTCCTTATCTGAGAACGGAATCAGCAGAGAGGTTCTCAATGCCCAGAGCAAGGAGTTGGCATTCCGGGACAAGGGGACCCACAGCTCTCACTGACACAGTTTACTTACCCCACCAGACCCTCTCCCTGGCAGTCTTTTCAACTCTTAAAAACATATTTTTCACTTCGGTTTGGTGAACCTTTTCCACAATGCACTGAGCTGGGGCTGACATGTCTGTCACCGTAAAAAAACACAAGGTTTCCATTTCGACCATTGAGATTTTTCTGCTCAATTTCAATTGAGTTTCCTATATTAACGTAGCAAGCAAGCATTTATTTATTTATGCTATTTATTTTCCAGTAAATTATTGCATTTTAAGTTGTACAGATATGGGTTTAGAAATGAAAGGCGACGTTGTTTTTTATATATTCAACACGGGTTATAGGTTAATAAATACTGCGCATTAGGCCGGACGTTTAAACACTTTGGGGTGTTTTAATTTTATTCCTTTGACTCAATTCCCCTAAATAGTCAGCTCGCCAGTGACCAGCTTTGTTCTAAACCCGTGCAGTTCAGCTGCTTTATTGTAATGGGTGCAGCTGCAGATCTCCCAGTAAAACAATGTTTAATGTGAAGCAGTGATAAGCAGCAGTCATTAATGTGTGTACGGTGGGCTGGGTACAAATCTACTGTACTACCTTTCAAATGGGCTGTCTGTCCATGGTCTCACAGAGCAGCAACGTGAAAATGTCTTTTAACAGCACACGCAGACTGACTCACAACATCCCCAGTGAATGGTTATACAGTCACCAGCCACAATACGCTACGCTTTCAGTTACCTTTGGATCTCGTACTTGTGAAAGGCACTTCCGAGTTTAGAGTGCATTGCTCTGCAGTTCCAACATTGTTTTTTTCGTGATTTTTTTTTGCCAAAACAATCTCCGCTCTTCCGCTCCCGTGTCAGA